GCTGAAGGAAGCGTTTGCATCCTCAGGTCTGCTGCTCGGCTCTGCCCCAAGAGCCTCTGGAGCTTCCTTGACCCCAGACCCGCTGGCTCTTTGAGGTGCTTGAAGATGCTGTTCCAGCTTCCCTTACCCCGGGGGTTTCTGTGGTGCTGTGGATGTGGAGAGGGGGGCGATTACTGCAGGTGTGAGGGAAACAAGTTTGGATTTGACGCCTGCACCGGTTTGGTTGGTAGGCGGGGAAGTGAGCTGCGCTTTGGTTATACCTGGAAGCGTCCCAGTGCCACGAGGAGAAGTCAGGATGCTGCAGCTACAGCTGGGAAATTTCTCAGCCTTCCCTCTTAGATATTTCCAGTAGGAGGGGTTTTTTTGTTTTGTTTTGTTTTTTGCTCTGATGTGAGCCAATCACAGGATTGGCAAATAAGGCTTTGTTAAATTGAAAAACGCCTGTCGGCACTCCTGAGGTGAGCTGGGAACTCAGCCAGGTTTGGTTTGGAGGCTGCTTTGAACACTGACCATAAAGTGAGCCAGAAGCCTGATGGAGTTTTTGCTCTTTCCTTACAGCAGCTTTAGCTACACCGATGCCTGAGGACTCTGTGCCACTGAGGAGTCAAAGCCGCTTGTGGATCCTGATTATTGCAAGTACGTGAGACTTGAAGTGCTGCACATGGTCCTGGTTCTGACTTGGGCTTTAAGTTGAGTATCTGGCAGAGTTCATTCCAGACCAGTATCAGTAGCTGCTTTTGTTGGGCTGGGAGGGCTAGGGGAGGCCTTAGACCACAGCTTTAACCGTTTCTCTGGCTTGGACACACTGTGTCCTTGGAAAGGCCATTCCATGCAATCTGGCACTAACTCTCTTCCTCTCTCTCTGCCCCTTTTCCTTGGGGGAAGCTGCTCCTCTGTAGGCTGCTGCTGTTGAGTGGCAGAGCCCAGTACTGATGTGCAGACCAGGAGCTGTGAGTGGTTCTCTGCTTATGCATTCTCCTCTCTAGTGCTCCTCAGCATCCTGGTAGCTGTGGGTTCTGTTGCTGTGTGGGTCCTGTCCAAAGCAAAAAGCAGATCTGACACCTTCAGTCTTGAAAATGCATCCAGGGAACACCTGATAGCTGACAAGAGCCAGACAGGCTCAGTGCCCTGAAGGGTAAGTTTCTTGCACCCAGTGCTCTCTGTGTGCATGAAGAAGAAATGTCTTCTCACCTGGTGTTTCTAACCTTTCCTCTCTGGGGGTAGCTTTCTCCAGCTCTTCCTGCTGCTGGTCAGCCATGCTTGGGGGCTCAGTCTGTCTTGAAGCAGCAGAGCCTCTCCGCTTTCCTCCCTTCCTCCCTCACAGTCAGACATGAAGCCTCTTGTTTGTCTGCAGGGATAGCTGCACAGCTGAATCTGAGCTTGGTGCCCAGCAATAGAACAAAAAACAATAGGCTTAATAATGGGTTTAGGAAGTTCCACCTCAACATGAAGAGACTTTACTGTGAGGGTGCCAGAGCCCTGGCCCAGGCTGCCCAGAGAGTCTCCTTCTCTGGAGACTTTCAAACTCCACCTGGACACGTTCCTGTGGGGCTGCCCTGGGTGACCCTGCTCTGGCAGGGGGGTTAGACTGGGTGATGTCCAGAGGTCCCTTCCAACTCCCAGCATTCTGTGATTCTGTGAGAAGATGCAGGCTGCTTTTAAGAGCGGTGAGCTGGTCTCTGTCTTTCTTCTGCTGCCAAGGGCACTGAGCACTCATGCTAAGATCCTAATCTTCTGGTAGTTTTCTTCCACTTTGTACAAAGTGAAGTCAAATCGGGGTTTTGCCCAAAGGACTGTCCGTAACCTGGTGTTTTTTCTGTTCTCCTAACAGGGATCTGAGGTGATGAGATGGGACTAGCGTGGTCTCCCTCCTGCTCACCACAGAGACTGACTGAATTGAACGTAAGCTCTCAAATCTGGATTGTTACACTGGAATAACAAGAGCACACTCCCCTTGGAAATTGGCCTTCAATTGTGCAAGCTTGAAATAACTCGTGTCTTGGCTCAAACACTGTCTGTGCGTTGTGGCGTGCGCAGCTCTTTCTGAAGCACTCCGTGCTGTACGGTTTTCTTTTCAGAAGAACTGGCAGTGGAAAGAGAAGATTACTGACCAGTGCCTCTAGATCAGCGTTGCCCACGTACTCCTTGCACAAGTGTTCACTAAGTGCACAAAAGATAGAAAGCTGCTGTTCTCTGTGCCTTAAAGGTGAGAGCTTGGCCTGCCAAGCAGGCACTGGTCACCAGCCTTAGAACAGAAGTCTTCCACTCCTAGGTAGACTGTGAGCATCAGGAGAATCTTCTATATGCGATGTGGAGTACTGAGTTATTCCAGTGCTGCTATTTTTAGCATCAAGATGTCATTTGCAAGGGTGCACACAACCTTGCTTCTGTTTCCCTAGGGACAAGTGGAGCTAGCTGTTGGGGAATGACACAGGAGAATAAAGAACTTCAAATGAATGCATTCTGGACTTTTTCTTTTTTTTTCTGGGATTTGTGCGTTTGCTTGAATTCCGTAGTCGGGGGGTTGGGGGCTGCATCACTTTCAGATTGTCAGCCTGGGAACGGGCACTCGTGGTGGCTGGGCTGGGAAAACAAGTGCTGCTGTGCCCGCCTGAGGCTGAAGTGAGCCCAGCACATGCCAGCGCAACAGAAAAAATGAAATACAGGAGCAGAGTGAAGAGAGTGGATGGAGATGAGGAATGGCTCGAGCTGGCATCAGGGGTTCCTGCCATGGAATAGCCGAAAAGCAGAAAGCTCCTCTGAGACAACGTGAAAAACTTAAGCCTGCCTGAACTTGTTTCCTTCTTCATTAAAGCAAGTGAAACGAGGGAGTGCCCAGCGGGATGGGGTGAGCCAACAGCAGCACTTGTGCCACCAGGGTGGTGTGGCAGAGGTCAGCTGTCCCCAGCCTGTCCCAGGTCAGCCTCTTGGCTCGAGCTGCCAAGCGGAGACGCGCTGCTGTGTCACCTGGGGCAGAGCCCCTCGCTCTGTGCAGCGGGAGGCAAGGCTGGTGGGTAAACCCAGCGGGTGCAGCCTCTTCCCACAGCAAGATCCCACAGGTTTTGCTTATTTGATCTCTTCCAGCATTGAAAGAAAGAGGTTTTTATGGATCTTGTGCCAAAACTTGGGGCCATGTTCGTGACAGCAATTTCCCTTCCTCTGTCCGGTGCCAGAAGCGTTTGTGTTGTTCTAATCCCAGGGCTCAGAGACTTCAATTGTAGCGGAGCCTGAGCTGCTTTCCAGCCTGGGAGCAGCTTTGTGCTTGAGGTCTGTGTACTTAATTAGATCAGTTGATGGAGATCAGGGTGATGTTTTACATGCCGAGGTAGAGTTGTGTTCCAGGGTAAGACATCAAAGATCGGCCTGTTTAATTTTGGTTCCCCTTTTACTCACAGATCCAAAGGATCTCTGCAGTTCCTGTAGTTCGGGGGGACTTTTACCGCACGCCTGCGTTTCCAGTGTTTCATTCTGTGCTCCCGACCCTGCCAGTGCGAGCAGCAGGGCTGAGGCCGGTACGATGAGCGCAGGACAGCGACGCAGGAGCACCCTGTCAAGTTGGGGATCTGCTTAAGTGCTGCGTGAGGGGTGAGGTGGCTCCTTCCCTTCTTCCCCTGTAAATCTGGGCCGCGGTGGAGCTCTGAGGGATGAGCTGGGAGGTAACAACCGTTTCTCTTTCCTGGGCTGTGACGGCTGATGGAGCAGGGGCAGCTGCATTAGTGCTCACGTGCCTAACGATCGGCTGGTGCCAAGAGCGGCATCTGTTGTGGGGGTACAAAGCTGACACAAATCCTGCGTGTCTGTACCTTTCCGTGCTTGGCAAGCGAGGTCTTTCAGGGTTAAATCAAGGTGAGGTCACGCTCCCTTTTCAACTTGCTCTCGTGGATGCCCTCACTGGCAACAGGGTAGCGTGTGAGAAATGCAAACAGCTAATAAGAGGAAAATAAGTAAAAAGAGAAGTGCAGAGCTGAAAATAGTTGCTTACATAAAGGGCTGGTGCTCCAATCTCATTATTGTCTTAAGGAGCAGACACTCAGCTGCCTCCGACTCCTACCATGCAAATGGAAATCTGATAAGCAATCGGCTTTG